TCTGTACATTATAATTTTGAGGGAAGATAAAGACTTGCAAAAAAAGGGGGACTTATACAAGGTGAGTCATGAGGAACTGTACATACTTCTACCACGAATAGAGAGGACCCTGAGGTGCATACCTAATGACCATCAGAAATTGTCTTCTCCTCTTCTTCACTGATATATAGGGTTTATGGGATTTGGCAATAACATCTTTTGGTCACAACTTTCTGACAGCTTTTTCGGTTCGTTTGAATTTTTCACGGAATATTTTGCTTGTATATACTCTCTAAATCGAGTGATTCATTGAGAATCTGGAAAATCCAGGACCATTTTTGAAAAATTACACTACTTTAATTTAAATCAAAAAGTTCATCCTGTATATCGTTTTCGTCAACTGTGACAGGTTACAAACAAACTTGAAGAATAACATATTCAAGATTTTCTTCATACTCTCACTAAAAAAAAATGAAACATTGCATTTTCTGAAAAAAACGGAAGTTTTTCAAATAAGTGAGACTTTCGCTCCGAGCAAATCGACATTTTCTTTATTTTCAGGCCTGGATTTAGTAATTTTATGTTTTTGTGGAAAGTAATAATCGAATAAGTGGATGGAGTATCTATATATACTCTATGATTGTAATTCTGAGTTTTATTTATTCGATTTGTATTATTTGATTATTTTTGTCACTTATTTTTCGTACAGAATTATCCCCCTTTGTTAGTATGGCGTTTGAAAATTTGTTAATAAACCCCCATTTTCTGTTCGAATATCTAGAATTATTTGAATTGATGGCCATTAATATTCATACAGATCCACTGATTCGAAAAAGATATTCATGGTGATTATTACCCTCCACAAAAAAATAAAATGACAAAGTCTAGGTCCGAGAATGAAAAAACAAGCGTATTTTCATTGAGATAAAGCATTGAAAATGCAAATCTTACGTTTATTCCTAAAATTTATATGCGTTTTCCAGTGAATAAATTTGTTGTCGAACTTTCGTTTTTGCTCATCATTCATTGTTATCTGAAAATTTCAGTGTAAGTGCGAGGAAAATTTCGAATGTTTTATTTTTGATGCTTGTTTGTGACTTTTGAAAATTTCTTTTATATCTATAGAATAGCCTCCCGGAGTATATAGGGATTATATTGTTTTCTTATAGAAATCATATCAAATCGAAATATTGTATAGCATTGGGACCCTGTTTCGTTGTAACGGCATGGTAAATATAAATCATATTCAACCGGATATTATAGTACTAAAGACACTAATATGTTCTATACTGCTTTCGACATATAGTATATAATTTCGACTCATCCTTTCCAGTTGTCACTTTCACAATACCTAATAGGATCCCAATGAATATTTAAACATCTGATGGAAGATACGAGTGCCTGGGAAATTATTCAAATTAATCTATTCATCCATGACACATCGAAAACGAAAGTGAAGATGTAACCTGGTAACTGCAACCATGCAACCATTAGCTCATGAAAGTGAAAAACTAAAGAAGCGCTAAAAAGCAACAAAGTTTCTTAAGCAACAAGTGTCTCATCCAAGGTAAATCCACTTGTTGTTAAACAATAATTAAAGGTACCTACTTTCATGCAGAGAAAGTGAGAATAAAGAGATGGATCTTCTTTCTTTTTTGATGGAGCAGCTAATAGCTATATAGGTGCAATTATTATTCATACGATTCAGACTATTACGACACCGACATCTTCTGGCTTCTGGGATTATTCGTTATGTTATTCATGAAAGATCCTGCGCAACTTTATTCTGTTGTCCATTGAGATTATTTATTGGCGGATGCTATACGTTTTTTATTTTCCCATCATTGATTATTTACCGGTCTATTGTGACATAACATACGACTGCCAACTCTACTACTATTGGTACTTTCGTATACTTTGTTTAATTTATCACGTTCTTATGGAACCGAATTACGACCTATACTGAAGGATCCCAATTTATTATAAAAGGCGATATGAAGTGAAAGAAGAAAATGATTGGAATAAGTGACAATTATTAAATCTTCGAAATGAAAGTCATCATGGTCCACATACAACATACCATAAATGATGCTTATTCATTATTTTCGATTTAGACTAAATCTTCAACCATTATAAACAGATAGATCACATAAAATCTATGAGGTGTGAATCGGTGAAAAGGTAATTAGAGAAACAGCAATCAAGATTAATTACAATACCAAATAATCAAAATTATGCTACTCTACTTATTAGCTGGCCAAGTAGCGTGAAATAGATAAAAACAGAAATAGTCCGGAACTAACTAAATGATATAATATAGATAGTAATCAACACGTGATCTGTTTATGATGAGTTTCTCGAAGACGTATACAAGAGACCTTATAACCCCGGATCCAACTTGACAATGGTGGACTCTCATTAAACCTATAAGTATAATGACTCAAACTAATTGATAAAAATCATCTATGGAGCTAAAAATTGTTGAAATGCATGCTCACGAGGTAAATATCACTACTTATTATAATACTATGTAGCTCTAGCTCTAGCAACACGTCAAGAAAGTTCAGAAATGTATCTGAGAAATTATCCAGCCCTGTCCTGAATCCAACTGAAAATAATATCTATTATATTTGATTTTGGAAATGCACATAAACAAATCTTTTCGATAAGAAGTTTTCCATTAGAAATATGATGAAAAACTATAGTCTTATGTAAAATTGGGATTGTTATCAAATAAAGTTACGTAAACTTGATGTATTTGTTATTAGAACCATACTGCAGATCGAGATCAGTAATTAAAATCGAATAGATACCTAATAATAATAATTTCACTGTATCTGCTATAATCCTATATGTACAGGAGAGTTAAAAATAAGGAAGAATAGAATGTATACGAGTATATGTATTGTGTATCCATCAGTAGGTAATATTGAAATCGTGATCAGTTGTGATCAGCAGCTTTCAGTCCAGTTTAATCAATCAACAATTAATATAGATATAATACATGTAGTACCTATACTGATGATAATATAATCAAAAACAAAAATACTCTAGAAGGCAGGTGAGAACTTATATAATCTGTGGATGCTATTCGACAATATCTCTGAAAAAATTGGATTCCTCAAAATAATTTGCTTTCAATCAATTATCATTTCATGAAAATGAATCAATAATATAAATATATGAACTATGAGTTGAATAGAGATGAATCAAATCGGAATTCAGACTAATTTACAAAAAATTAATCTCGCGTACAAAAATTACGTTGTGAGTGAGAAAATCATCATAAAACCTCAAGACAAGTCTCGAAGATCTCAGCGAGACCTTTGTGATGATAGATTTTTATCGTAACATTGAAGCCAATAATCACCACGATTCCTATAAGATATGCTTGGCGTTTTTGTTTCCATTTTCTTCTTCGATATTTCGTACAAAAATCAAAATTGCAACTTGAATCAAGACATTTTGATGGATATCATATCAATAAGTCACCGTTTCGAGTTGCAATCTAGATTTTTGTACAGAGTATCGTAAAATAGACGGACTTTAAGGTGCGTTCTATAGGTTTCAGTCTACAACACCAAAGAACCTATTATCAACACGCTTATATTAATTATAATTAGCTTGGTGTTTGTATATGTTTGTATGAGTAACTGATAGTTTTGTTTCATTATGCTGATCAGGACATCGTCGATCTAAATGAAAACCTAGCGCGAGGAGGTATATATGATTTTTTTCTCTCGAATAAAATGGTGATCGAAATTTCAAAATGCTCCTTCACCAAAATTTCAAAGGTTCTTTGTTATTTCGTATAATTCAACAATGCTTTTTCACATCCAGAGACAGAGCAGTGTCTCACAACAAGTACTCGTATGAATAGAGAGAGACGATCGAGTGATTTTGAACAACTTCAAAACGTCGATTGAAATGAATAAACTCCGCACACTTATCAAAGACCGATGACGATAGCATAATTCAATAGATTTGTTTCATTATCATGATCAGATTCTTCAAGGATGGGTGATTTTTACATCCAGAAAACACCAAATATACTTGTCCCCCCTAGGAAGAAAATAGCTATTTGTTTTTGCTAGGCAGGAAAGTAGTAGATTTCAAAAATATGTTCATGTTATACATGGTGTGCCAGAAACACGAAATGAAATACCTCGTATATAATTGCATTTTTAGATTCTCCATGAAGAGCTGATGTCATCAATACATCACACTTGGGGTCTAGCGGAAATGATTACTGAGATATATAGGGCTTTCAAAATCGAGATTCTTTTGTGGTGAATCTATTAATTATTGGTCAAAACGACTCACATGTACCTATCTTATCTCTTGATTTACTATCTACTGACAATTAATTGAAACATATACACAGGGTGGTTCAAGATGCAGAATTCTGATCACCCTGTATCTGTTCCAATTACTCTACCACAACTTGAGAATATGTAGGATACAAGAATAAGAATAACGTGCCTATAATCGAGTCATGCTATACCTAATTCTTAGTTTTAGTTCATCAATAAATGTTGTTTGTTAGTTTCATTAATAAATTATTTAAAAATGACTTGTTATTCGAGGGAGTCAAGCTGTAAACATCATCCTCGGGAGAAAAAGTAGCAGTTTCCTTCCTTGTTATACGAATAGCTTTATATGCAGAGGGACGGTAATGTCTTGCACCAAGTACTCGTTTGAAATAAAGTTTCCGATGAGGATGCCTAACAATCGGTTACAACATCCAAAAAATGAGAAATAGAAAATGAAAAACAAAAAAAATACCTTCAATAGATAGCCAAACTGAAAATAAGTAGAAAATGAAATGATAAAAGTGTGTTGATAAACACACAACATAGAAAATATTACCTCCTCCGTAATCATCAGTATACCAACACTTTTATTATTTTATTTTCTACTTTTTTTCGGTTTGGCTATCTATGAAAGCGTGTGTTTTTAGTTTTTTAAACTACTTTCCATTTTTTGACCATACATTGGGATGGTACTTGGATGGTACTTACCGTTTGGACCGGTAGAAGCTGTCCAAAAGCGCTGGACAAGCACCCAATGGCGATAAACCACAATAGATGGTACTGAAAGTGAATCGAGTCCATCATTTTCACACTCGCGTTAACGCCGGATGCATCAAGTTTTCACTGGATGGTACTGGTACTCTTCTCTGCGTTGGCACCTTCTTTTAGATCTCTCCCTCTGCCGCTGCCGATAAAGATGCACATGGAACCCTCCTCTCTCTTTTCCGCCTCTGGATGACCACAATCTTAGTGGTTTGGTACGTTTTTGTAATGTCTTGATGTTGATGATTGGGATTATTAGGATTAAGCGTTCTGTTCTGAAATGGCTTCAATGTTTGAGAAGGCAAAAAGATTCCAAAATAATATGTAAATTTTATTTTCCGGATTCGCATTTTTTGAAAGATAGCACATCCTTTGAATAACCTCCGTACAATCTGGTATTGTCGAGAAGATAATAATTTATTTCTAATTTGTAGGTATTTTGAGTACACCATAGTATTGCTGAAGTTTTTTCCTGATGAAAATTCAGTCGCATGCATTAGGACTTGGGAAATTTGGAATTTTTCCCCAATATGCAGGATGTTTTTTTTTTTTTATTTCAAACTCTTTTCATCGACGATTCTATTCTTTTCAACCAATTTCTACTATTTAGTACGTCTCACAATCACAATATCACCGTTCATTATACATAGTGGTCACTATCAATTTGTGACGTTTCCATACACCTTCTAGATTCTGTCATAGTGTTTTATTCGGCTCCCATATTTAGCTTCAAATATCATGAAATTAGTTTTTATAAATATAAGCGGAATTACAAAGTTTTGGAATTGAATTTCAAGCAATCCACTACTCATCTGAGTGGTGCATTTAGCGATACCAGTATAATGAATTAATAAATATTGGCGAAGGTGCAAGATATTTGTTTTTGGTGTACATGTATCCACCAAATTTTTAAATTATTGTCGGAATTTCAAACCTCCACCAATGCCAACTAAATAAAAATCAGAATTGATATCAGGGTTGTACCCCTTTTTTTTCGGGGTTCAGAATCAAAAATTAGTTTGTAACAAATTGCGTATTTTTGAAATCATGCATGATATTATATTCCAAGGAAAATTCAATTCAAGATTTTTTTCCACTGAATTATTATTCCGGAAAATATAGAAATTTAGAAATTTTCATATCTACGTGCGGCTTACCAATTTGTTTAAATCTAGTCTCCGAATTTTGTAGATGGCGTCATTGGAGTTGATGATATTTCAAAACAAATCCTTCAAATGATATTGAAAAAACAAAACAAATGCAGTCTTGACTTCAGAGGTCCGTAGTAGCTCGTCAGTAGCATACACAAATTGTTAGCGGAATAAAAAAAAATTATCCATCAAAACTATAAAAAATCCAAATTTGATTTACACACTTTTTGACAAGACGCTAAAAATCCAACCAATAGCAGATACCTACTTAAATATCTAGAGGACAATGTCATTCAGCAAAAAATATTTGAAAAAGTTTATTGAACTTCTAGAGTGGCAAAGTTGCTAAAAATCCTGCATTTTATTGCTCTAGTTTCATTAGAGTTCTTCCGATATGTAAATCGGTCTGAAACTTCGATTCATTGAAGACGATAATATATAGGTACCTACACCTCTTTTTGGATAAATGAACACGCTAAAAGATGAATTGATCATGATGATTTGTTGAATGGGTAATCTTGAATTTTGGTGATGGGAGTACAAATATGTGATCGAATTTATACTTGTACACTTTTCCACGTATAAATGAGAAATTGAGGTTGGATATTCAATTTCCTTGTGGTTGTTGGATAAGAATAAAAAAACACCCACGCTAATACGTAACCGCGGAAGTTGACAAAAAATGATGATTGTAAATTGTTATTGAATTAAGAGCACTAAGAGCCGGTCTGGTAAAGCTCTTTTTTTACTGGCTGTATGGTCTGATTTGAGATTGGTCGGTACAGTTTTTTTAAATCATGCATGATTGGTATTCTTACACTATGGTGTCATTCGTGAGAGCTAAATTTCACATGGATGTTATGATTTGAATAATCTTATACAGGGTGTTTCAAAAAAACCTAACCCCCTTGCTAGGGTATGTAGAACATTGCAAAATAAGTTGGGTTTGCTGAGTGAAAAATTGTCGTAACGGCATCCGTTTTCATGATACAATAAGGTGTTGAAAAAATTATTTTTTTACACATTTTTCATGATTATTCCGAAACTACTGGCACCATTGTAATGACATTCTGAATGGATGTTTCTTGAAATCTGAAACATCGCATAAATTTGTTTTTATATCTGACTCTCATAGAGGGCGCTAGTTTCACGGTTCGTACCGAGTAGTTTTGAACATAACTTTATTGAGGTTAGATTTTTCAATCCAAATATGTTATGAACTTGAACATCATTCAATTTTACACCAAAAAGGTACTCCTGGTGAAATTCGATACTATGTTCCGTTTTCGGAATATTTCGATTTGAAAATAATGGAGTAGTAATGCTGCTGGTATAAAATGAATTTTATTGAGTTCAATTACCTATTATTATACAGGTTCAAAAACAATAAAATTATTCTTGTACTGAAGTTATTGATGGAACAAAGAATCATAAGTAGAAAATGAAGAGATATTTGACTATAGAAACATGAAATATTGAATCAGTTAGAGTAGGTAAGTGTTCAAAAATGTCCTACGTTTCGAGGAATACACGATTCTATATTCTTTTTTTAAAAATAAATTATTCTTCTGAACAGTTGAGGATCAACTGTTAGGCCATTTGAGTGATGTTCAATTATGTCTCACAACTCTTGACGTAAATTTACCTATGTAGCATCTGCTCAAGATACAACAAAACTGTGTAATCCATGTTCTTAGTTCTTAGTCAAATCTGTTTCGATGTTATTCTTGTGATTCATTGTTAAATCAATGAGTTTTGCATCAGTAATGTATTGTTGTTTTCGGTTTTCAATAAATAGGTTATAATTTCTCATAATACGCGCACTGTATTACATAGCTTTATACCAGCAACAGTTTACCACTTCATCATTATTTCAAATCGAAATATTCCGAAAACGGAACACAGTATCGAGTTTTACCAAGAGTACCTTTTTGGTATGAAATTGAATGATGTTCAAGTTCACATCAAAGCGCCCTCTATGAGAGTCAGATATAAAAACAAATGCATGCGATGTGTCAGGTTCCAAGAAACATCCATACAAAATTTCATCACAATGTTGCCAGTAGTTTCAACATAATCGTGAAAAATGTGTAAAAAAATATTGTTTCAACACCTTGTATCTTGAAAACGGATGGCGTTACGACGTTTTTTTACTGAGCAAACCCAACTTATTTTGCAATGTTCTACCTACCCTAGCAAGGGGGTTAGGTTTATTTGAAACACCCTGTATACTACGGGAGGTAATCTCGCAGATAAAAATACATTATAAATTTTACTATACCAACATATATCCAAAAATGCTTCTAAATGGCGCTACGGCCATTATTTATTATTTCATCAATAATGTAACCATGGATAGCGAAGCAAAGTCTATCAGTTTGGAATAAAATCGTTACATGGCTGGAATTTTCAGAATGAACCACTCATTTTTAATAAATGCTTTTTAAGCTTCGTGAACGTGAATAGTCTAGCAAAATATCACTCTGTCCTGAATATCTTCTCATAATTCTGCCTTTCATTGTTAACTCAATTGTGTTGTCGTACCTGATTCATGAACAATGAAGTGACAGAATTATCTCAAATATTCAGAACATTGTGATATTACTTATGAAAAGAAATCATTTCAAGAATGAGAAAACTACTAGTAGAAGATTAATACAAGGAGACTGTTTCATGTTTTGAGTAATAATCTTTTATTACAATCTAGTTCTGAAAATATCATAAGGAATATTTTATTTCAATAGTTTGGAATCAAACATTGTATCTACACTTATACAGAGTCTTTTGCATTCATTTATTAACATACACACTGTTGTATATTTGAATGCTACCTTATAACCGCGAAAGTATTTATGTTGGTAGTCTGGACTTTCATTGTTGTCAATGTTGTCATTGTTGTCAAGTGACGAAATAGGAAGGGGTATAGGTCGCGTGCAAGAACTGTCAGATGACCGACCCTGGAGGCAAAATATATTTGTTTACAAGTGATCGAAATAGTTTTCCACAATTATTTTGGCATATGAATCGTATTTTTCCGCTATTGATCAATTCGCTAATGCCATCACATTGTGCTGTTGTAAAATGCACAAAAACTGCAGCGGAAGATGAAGAAATCCGGATGGTACATTATGATTCAAAAGTAAGTACCTACTATAGTCACTCACATAGTTTTCATTTTTGAAATTTGGTTATTTCTCTGATTTCTCATCGGAATTCCTTCTGCAATAGGATCAGCTAATAGAAATATACCTGAAATTTCTAGAATAATGCAAGAAGATTGGATTCATGCAATCAATCGGTAGGACTGGTCTGACATGCTTACGATCGTATGTGTTGTAGACATTTTCAATCTATTAGCAGCATTAGCTTGTATTGCAGAAGTGGCAGAAGGCAGAAGGAATTTTAATAAGGAATGACAACATTTCATAATGCTAACTATGTGAGATTACTATTTACCTGAAAAAACATATTCCCTAGTCTCTTGCTGCATTTTTTGTGCATTGTACAACAGCACAATGCGAAGGCATGCTTGAATTAATGAATAACGCAAGAGACACGATTCGTATGCCAAAATATCGTGAAAAACTATTTCAACCTTTTGATTCCTCTGTAACCAAATAAAAAAGTGAGGTTGTGTTTCAATAATTCACAGAAGAATGAGGTTGTGTTTCGATATTTTGCCTCCAGGGTCGGTCTTCGTGCACGCGACCTATTGGAATTATGCACATTTATATTCATTCATTCATTGATTCATCTCACATACAGATGACATACACTGTTCGGTAAATAAAATGCCAGTTAATCATTCTCGAGCAATTTATTTCTCTCCACCGTCAAGACATACATAAGGGTACATACACAACAGTTGGCGACGAGGCAGACGAATCTGCGTTACAATCGGCCGAAGTTCAAGAGTGAATACGAAAAACGGAGTGAGAGGTTACGTACGGCACGTGTTCGTGCTACATACAGTTGCAGCTTTGGGAATACAGTACACCCAAACCGGCAAGAAACATGACTGAAGTCAATCATTCAGTCTATACAGTATTTTCAATCGAAAATTTCGACACCTCAAAAAGGTTCGACAGGTGGCTCATGCGCCTGGAAAGTGCTTTCGATGTTTTCGCTGTACCAGACGACAAGAAGGCAGCATATCTATTACATTACATGGGCCCCGAAGCCTATGATGTCCTGTGTGACAAAATTTCACCAGATGAGCCAGGTGTCAAGACGTATGCAGAATTAGTGAACACTATGAAGTTGCACTATAATCCAGAACCACCAGAAATAGCGGAAATCTACAGATTTTTACAACGAAGGCAGCATGAAGGTGAGAGTGCCAAAGAATATCTCACAGCCTTACAGGGCCTTGCTACAACATGCAAATTTGGAGAATATTTGAAGAAAGCACTAAGAAATCAGTTTGTGTTTGGTCTCCGAGCACAAAATATTCAAAGCAGACTACTGGAGCAGAAGGATTTGACAATAGAGAATGCATTGAATATTGCAGTTGGCATGGAAACCTCTGCAAGGGATGCTGCTCAACTTCATCGTCCAGCAGGGGGGACTAGTGTACACAGTGTGGGTGCTCATAGTGTACAACGAAAGTCAAATTCATGGGCCAGTAATCATGGGCAAAAGCAAAGAGGCCAACTCTCCTGCCAAGTGAATTCTCACAAAAATACTGATAATACATTTTGTTTTAGGTGTGGATCCCCACAACATTTGGCTCACCAATGTAATAAACGAAATTTAACTTGTTCCAAATGTAATCGGAAAGGTCATTTGGGAAAGGTATGCCTCAAAAATAAAAATGATAGTAGATCTACACATCAAATGGAAGAAGTTCAAGTTGATGAAATTCTATCAATACATACAGAACATCCACAGCTGAGAGAGAAGTTCACACTCACTCTGGAGGTAAACGAGGTAAGAGTTTTATTTGAATTAGATTCTGGTGCTGCAGTTACAATAATGAGTTGCATTGATTCACAAAAATTATTTCCTACGTTGCAATTACAAGAGACTGATACAAAACTTATCACATACAGTAAGAACCCTTTAGATGTGCTTGGTTTAATTGAGGTAGAGGTAAAGTACCAAAATATTACAAAAAAATTGAATTTATACATTGTCAATACTGACAAACACCCACTTTTAGGAAGGGAGTGGATGAGAATGTTAGGTATAGGGTTCAATAATACTCCTGAAATTACATATCTAACCACTCAAAGTAGATTAGATGACCTTTTACAAAAGTACAATACAATTTTAAAAAAAGATTTAGGCAAAATCACAGGTTTACAAGCTAGTCTCAAACTCAAGAGTGATTCACAACCCATTTTCATAAAGGCTCGCAAGGTACCCTATGCATTGTTGCCCAAGGTGGAAAAAGAACTGGATTTTCTAGAGAAAGAAGGGGTGTTGGAAAAAGTGGAAAGTTCTGAATATGCAACTCCAATAGTCCCAGTTCTTAAAGCCAACGGCAATGTGCGCATATGTGGTGACTTCAAATGTACATTGAATAAAAATTTAATTGTGGATGAGTACCCTCTACCCACTATAGAAACGTTGTTTTCCTCAATGGCCGGTGGAGACAAATTTACAAAAATAGATTTACAACAAGCATATCTTCAAATGGAAGTACGTCCAGAAGATAGGAAATATCTTACTTTGAGTACTCCAAAGGGATTATACCAGAGTACGAGATTAATGTATGGGGTGGCCAGTGCACCTGCTATATGGCAGAGGGTCTCTATATCCTGTGATATACCTGACCACCAACAGTGCCCCCTTGCCAAAGCCTTCATTTTTACCACACCAAAATGTGCACTGTGAAGCTCTTCTAATATTCTGTGCTGTAACCCTTTTGGTATGACGGCCATGAAATAGAGGGAATAGAGGGAAATAGAAAATATTCTAAAAGATATACCGGGCGTCTCAGTTTTCATTGACGATATCAAGGTAACAGGGGTTGATGACAATTCCCATTTCGAACATCTAGAAGCCATCTTCAGCAGACTGGCAAAGTACAACATTAGAATAAACTATGAAAAATGTCAATTTCTCACAAAAGAAATAGAATATTGCGGGTACTTAATTGACAAAAACGGCATTCATAAGTGTAAAAACAAGATGGAGGCAATTCATGATGCCAAGGTGCCATCTAACAAGTCTGAAGTTCGAGCATTTGTGGGGCTAGTAAACTATTACGGACGTTTCCTTGAAAATCTCAGCAATACGTTACAGCCAATATACAATTTACTTAAAGATAATGTGAAGTTTCATTGGGATAAGAGATGTCAAAGCGCTTTTGAAGCAGTTAAGACAGAAATAATGTCAGACAGAGTCCTAGCACATTTCGACCCTGAACTTCCTCTGATTTTAGCAACTGATGCTAGCCCATATGCAGTCGGAGCCGTGCTGTCACACATTTATCCTGATGGAACAGAGCGCCCAATACAATTCAGTTCGCAAACATTGACCAATGTGCAACAAAAATATGCACAAATTGATAAGGAGGCTTATGCCATCATTTTTGGTGTAAAAAAATTTTACTATTACCTTTATGGTAGACCTTTCACATTGTATGTTGATAATCAACCCCTTATACAGATTTTTTCCCCGGCCAAACATTTATCAACACTGACTACAACAAGAATGCAACATTATGCACTTTTCTTACAAAGCTTCCAGTACAAAATAAAGTATAAAAATACAAAAGCACATGCAAATGCTGATGCTCTTTCAAGGTTACCCTTGAATGTAACTACTAATTTTCATCATGATATATCCGACCAATTTGAAATTTTTCAGATAGAAAACTTACCAGTTTCCTCCAAGGAATTGGCGAGTGAAACTGCTAAGGATCCTATCCTAAAAAAACTTTTAGAGGCCCTTCAATCTGGGGTTGAATTAAAAGCAAGGGATAGATTTAATGTTCCACAGCTAGAATTTTCATTGCAAAATGATAGTATATTCCGGCAAAATATGGCCGTCATACCAAAAGGGTTACAGCACAGAATATTAGAAGAGCTTCACAGTGCACATTTTGGTGTGGTAAAAATGAAGGCTTTGGCAAGGGGGCACTGTTGGTGGTCAGGTATATCACAGGATATAGAGACCCTCTGCAAAAGCTGTGTCGATTGCAACAAAATGAAAAATAATCCTAGCAAAGTGCCCATTCATCATTGGGATACTCCAACAGTACCCTTTGAACGAGTGCACATAGACTATGCAGGTCCATTCTTTAACTTTTATTATTTTATATTAGTAGATGCTTATACTAGGTGGCCTGAGATTCACATGGTACAAAACATGACGAGTCTCACCACCATAAACCTTTTGAGACAAATTTTTGCTTCTTTTGGCATACCAAAGATTATTGTCTCTGATAATGCTCAAAACTTCGTGTCCTATGAGTTCAAACAATTCCTACAAGAAAATGGAATAACTCACCGCTTGAGTGCACCATATCACCCAGCCACTAATGGTTTAGCGGAAAGATACGTTCAGACCTTTAAGCAATCACTTAGAGCGCTGAAGGGGGATAACCAAAATCGGCAGAAACAACTTTGTAAATTCCTATTACAGTATAGGAAAACACCACATTCTGGAACTGGTGTAAGTCCATCGTACATGCTTTTTGGTAGAGAAATCAGATCCAGATTAGATCTATTGCGTACAGAAAGGTCTGATAGAATAAATAACAATTTAGACGTACAGGGGAAAAAAATTCGTTACTTGAAAATAGGCGATAGGGTAGCGTGCCGTGATTATATCCATAATGACAAGTGGGAATTTGGTAGGATAAAACAAAAAATAGGTCATTTACATTATGTCATAGAGCTCGATAACTCTAGTGTCTGGAGGAGGCACATAGATCAGATTCAACTAATAGGGGAAAATACTCCGGTCATGCAAAAGTACCAGGAATCTCACCAGATACCTCAAATGAACTTAACACGTTCAAATCGTTCAGACAATGAACTAAATGAATCACCAAAAATTAATCCAGCAATATCTGATGAAGGAATTTATCCACAAATATCTGACGAAGTAGTAGCACCACCAGAACTCATTCAAACGAAAAACTCTTTTCCTACCTCTAGTGTCCCTGATGATGTTTCTCATACCTTGCCCAATGGACTTCCCGAACTGCGGAGATCCACAAGGATCATTAAACCTCCTGAAAGACTCAATTTGTGAGGGGAGAGTTGTTGTATATTTGAATGCTACCTTATAACCGCGAAAGTATTTATGTTGGTAGTCTGGACTTTCATTGTTGTCAATGTTGTCATTGTTGTCAAGTGACGAAATAGGAAGGGGTATTGGAATTATGCACATTTATATTCATTCATTCATTGATTCATCTCACATACAGATGACATACACTGTTCGGTAAATAAAATGCCAGTTAATCATTCTCGAGCAATTTATTTCTCTCCACCGTCAAGACATACATAAGGGTACATACACAACACACACATTGGAACTAGAAATGTCAAAATTCACCAGGAACAAATTCAAGAACAACCTGCATTGTGAAATCAACTATGAAAATTAAACAAATCCAAACTAGGCAGGTCCAAATTCAATGAAGCCCCACCCATCCCAAGGTCAGCCTCTGTTATTTTCGTGAACCTCTCATTGACAAACTGATCCACATTCATCACCTCATCTGAACTGGTGGAGTTGTCAAGTAATGTCCCCCCTGTCATAAATTCATCCACAGAGCTCCTGATATTTGACAAATTCAGCAAAGAATTGTCAGAGAGTAATTCAGTGTCTAAAAGTGATGTTTCTGTCTTCTTATTAAATTCATCAGACATCTGAGACATGTCTGAAGCTATTCGAGGTTCTATCTTAGGAATGCTGTATGGTTCAGCTGATTTTTCTAAGGTTTCATCTTGATCCGTATTGAAATACATATCTTCTAGTGGTATTTGGGGTTTATCACAGGGTATAATTGTTTTTTCAGTCTTAGCATGTGAGTTGTCACTGTGCAATTCTTGGTTTTCTACCATGCTGTTAGTGTCATTTTGTTGTGGTTCTACTGGTCGGTCTTCAACAGGATCTACAGGGTTAAAGAAATCTGTGTTTGTAATCAATTTCAGCACTGTGACATCCTTGTGTAGCTCAGTATCATTGAATTTGTATAAGCCAGGTGCAAGTCCAATAGCATTACCTAGTACTTTATCCACTTCCACATAGTTTTTATTTTGCTCTACTTTTTTAAAAAGAGCACTAGTCAAAAGTAAAATGTTATGAAGCAGATTGGTTAGTTCTTCACAAAACTTCATTCCTCTTTGGGCAGGTGGTGATTTTTGGGTCACATCAACTAGATAGTTCCAGACATCAAAGTTCAAATCATTGTGTTCTCTCTGAGGTAGGGGCCCATGATCAGGATACTTTTTGATGTGATCCAACATTTTGGCTTTGCCAAGATATGCCTTTTGACACTTGGGACACCTGTATTGGGCTGCAATTTTTCTTTTGCGCTGGTGATGGGATAATTCCTTTGGAGGTTTGGGTTTCACAGATGGTTTTTCTATGAACTTTGTGAATTCACTTGTTTTGAATTCAAGCTGGTCCTCTGAATCCAGTTTTTTTGGTTCATTAGTTTCAACTTTCTTGAAATCCTTCAACAGACAATAAATTGTACACTTCCATATCTGATTTGACAAAATAACCTTACCTGCTCAATATGTTTAGGGAATTTGATAACCCTTCCTGATCTAGTTCTAGGGGCCAATTTCATCACTTTTGGTGGTTGTTCTGGTTTCTTTGGTTCTGAGGGAGCTTCTCCTTTTTTCTTCTTTGGTCTGCCTCTTTTGAATTTTTCAACAGGCTGATAAACAAGTTAAATATGTAGTCAAATTTTTTTGGTATATTTCAAAAATCTACCTGAACTTTCTTCTCTGGACAAACTACTTGATATACATAGTTTATTTGAGGTTGCTCGATATTCTGAATCATGGGGGTGATGCTGGTTTCAGTGTTTTCAACTTCAAATCTTGGTATGGTTGGGATGAATACTGGTTGAAGATCCTCAACAACATTTGGTAGATATGTGATATGAGTGATTTTATTGAAGTCTTTAGATATTATAGGAATTTCTGAGAGTCGAATTGCGCTGAATGGCTGAAAGAAACGGGACATTAGGTAGAGAAACAATTATGGTCTAAAAATCGAGTTAACAGCAAAATAAATAATATACTCACATCTTCCAGCTGGATAACGTAAGGTAAATTTAGATTCTGCGTCATATTTTCAAGTATATAGCTATTTCGACAAGAATATTAAGAAAATATAAAATTCCTGACAAAACAAAAACTATCGGTTGCCTCAATTTTCTATTTTAGGGTTAGGATTAGGAAGTCCATCAAACATCAAACATTCAAACATCAAGTCTTCTTATTTTTACTTCACCATAGTGCTATCATCAACTTGAAGCATTTATTCCTATATACATTTGACCTACTCATGCCCTTGTACATACCAATCCTTTGTCAATTGTCTTGTCATCGCAATATCAATTATATGTCAGTTGTCATTTTCGACAGGAGGATTGAGGTTAGCTCAAGGTTTGGAGTTTGGTATTATTGTTATATTTATGATCGTTAATTTTTCCACATTTGTTTCTTGCACCTGTTTTAAGAAATATTAATATATTTTGGAGTTTCTGATAAGAATGCCGTACGCTAATCAACCGTCAGTACACATAACTGACCTGACCGATGATAACTGTAAATTTTACATTGAAGACACTGATCTGAGGTAAGATTCTCTTGAATTCTGCTTACGATATCTCATATCTCATCCCTTTTTTACTGCAGTGTCGCGAACAGCATTCGCCGCGTCCTTATTGCTGAAACTCCTACTTTAGCCATAGATTGGGTAAAACTTGAAGCAAACTCAACAGTACTAGGTGACGAATTCTTAGCACACCGAATAGGACTAATTCCTCTTGTATCTGATGAAGTAGTGCAACGTTTACAATACCCTAGGGTAAGAATTTCCTTAATCCAATGTACCTGCAAGTTGTGTGATGATATTTTCATTGTAGGATTGTGTATGTCCTGATTTTTGTCAAGAATGCAGTGTTGAATTCACCCTAGATGTAAAGTGCACTGATGATCAAACTCGCCATGTTACCACAGCAGATCTGAAGTCTTCAGACCCCCGTGTAATTCCAGCAACCTCCAAACATAGAGATGATGAGTCATCAGAATATGGAGAGACAGATGAGATTCTCTTGATCAAACTGCGTAAGGGTCAGGAGCTCAAAGTTAGAGCTTATGCAAAGAAAGGATTTGGCAAAGAGCATGCCAAATGGAACCCTACTTGTGGAGTGGCATTTGAGTATGATCCTGATAACTCTATGAGACATACACTATTCCCAAAGCCTGATGAATGGCCCAAGAGTGAATATAGTGAACTGGATGATGATCAATGTAAGAATATATTTTCCACAAGTGTCCATATGTGTATTGATAAATTTTTGTTTCAGTTGAAGCCAACTTCAATTGGGAACTCAAACCTAACAAGTTTTTTTATAATGTAGAATCTGCAGGACTTCTGAGACCTGAGAATATTGTTATAATGGGTGTGGCCATGTTGAAAGAAAAATTGTCCAATTTACAAACTCAGCTAAGTCATGAACTTCAAAATGATGCTCTGTCAATTCCTATTTAATATTTTTCCAGTATCATTATAGATTTAAGATATCATTTGATTAAATTGGGATCAATCTGAGTCTTGTATTATTTGTTTTGTAGGAGAAATATATTTTAAAATGTGTAAATAACCTTTATTCACAATTCACATAGGTACATTTAAAATAACTTAATATTTTTTAAAAACAACAACAGGCACTTTTATATTTCAGGTATTTGAAATTGTAATTTCAAAATAAATTTTTGTCATGATAAGAAACAATAGGAAACAAGACTATTTACAAATATTTATACCACATCATACTCACATTCACTTAAGTACATTTTGTAACCTATGGCAATTTCATATTTTATTAAAATTATCAATTAAATTACTATTTACAAAAATGATATGTACATTTGAATTGGCAGTGAGGTTGCATTTTATAATACAGTTTAGGTATATAATACTATTTAGTTTGTTTTGGTTTTAAGAATCCTATAATCTTCAATTCATTACAAAAAACTATGAGTTTTGATTTACTGGACATGAATTCAACAAAACATTATGGAATTCCTTCATGTATGACCAGTCGACTAGCTGATTTTCTATTGTAAGTTTCCTCAGACATCCCTTGAAATTTGTTAGGGATTTCAAAGTTCCTGTGGGGGCATTATCTGAAACAATGAACCAAAATATGTTAAGGTAACCATCAAAATCTCAGAATTCATCATTATGTAAAGATTTTGTTCAATGGATTCACAAGATTTGAGATTCACTGCGATGGATTCAGAAAGTGTTGATGTTTCAAATTGTCAAAATTTATTTTAAAATAATCTGGAGAAAATCAAGAATAAATTGGTTGATCTTAATATTTGTCTACTCTGTGCCCTTGATCTGCATTTTTTGTCTAAAAGCCTTTTTGTTTAGATAACAAATTACTAGCATTGTTCACATGTAGAATATAACTTCAGAGGCTGGAAAATTTTTTCATCTTTCAATATCAATTTTCAAATTTTCCTGAAGAGCCACTATATTTCAACTGGACTCTGGAGTTTCATCAGGTAGAAATTAAATAAATTAATACTTGTTGCGAGGGAGTGTTTCCGATTCCCCGTGTTCCGTGTTTATAAATTGAATAGTTGCAGAAGAATACCCATGTTCAATATGTTTTCTATGTAAACTCACCTGGCAAACCACCCACATAAAGAGGTGCTTCTACTTTGTCTATTGTTGAATTGATATCAGAAACTACCCAGCTTTTTCTAATGCCATCAACATTGACTGTGAGCTCGGAACTGGAATATAGTGCTGTTACATTGTGCCACCTGTGGAAGATAATTTAATGTGGAATTTGCTGTGGATGCTATGGAAAACTTAATTTAATGTAGAATTTGCTATGGAGGCCGTGGAAAATTCACGAGAGCTTGAAGTTTTCGAACTATTCCCATACCTCATTGAAGGTCAGATTAATCGCTCGTGAAAAAACTTGGAATAAGAGTTAGAATTGTTAACGAGACCCTCGGGGTCTCGAGAAGGAAAAACATTCATGAAAGCCTAAATCACAACACAAAAGATCACAGTGGGCTGACGCCATGCAATTAGTGGACCAGAATAAAACTCTCTGGCCAAACTCAGCCTCCACGATTTTATTGCGAAAAATAAGCATACAAAAACACGAATCTCAACATATCACGTGATGGGAATGGTTCGAAAGATTTAGGCACTTCTGAATATTTTGAAAAGTTGGTAACATTGGTAACACTACTAGTCAAGACACGAATATGCGCCCTTTTGCGCGTCGTGTAATTTAATGGCGTTGAGCCGTTGAGTGATTTCAAATCGAATTAATAAATAGTGTGTGAATAGCTGATGATTCGATTGGAATAGGTAAGAATAATGCAATATTCTTCAATACTGTTAACAGGGGTGACTTTGGTTCGGTTTTTCATGTATTTCTTGAATAAAACTTGATCTTGCAAAAATAACTGGGTTTTGAGTACTGAATATCAATGTACCAACATCCCCAAGTATGAATTAGGTCGAAAACATAATTTATTTATATCGTACTTTGATATATTTGGCCTTGAAAGTGTCACAATCTTGCCCCGTCAGTTGGGGTAACTTTGGTAGACTGGCTTTTTAGACAAATATTTCAAAGTTATGAGCCTGTGTTCCAAAGATTGACATTGCAGATTGAATAAGAATAAAATAGCAAGCATAAAATGAATGTTATTTGCAATTTTATTATATGTATTAGGGAGAACAACCACATTTCCGTGCAATCTATTCAAAACGATTTCCTCAAATGTGCACTGTTTTTGACAGAACGAATGCAATGTTGTCAAACTCATTTTTTTTACCTATCATTAGAGTTCCTATAAATGTCCTTGACACTGCTGTTTTGACGTTTTTTGTATATTATCAAAAAACGTCAAAACAGCAGTGTCAAGTACATTTAGGAACTCTACCTATCTTATGAACAAGACTGAATACCAAAAGTTGCCATATTCACTGCTAAAATATTTTTTGAAGGTGGCAATGTTACAAAAATACCAGAGGTCCCAAAGAAATTTCCAGATCACAAAATTACCCTGGTTTACGGTACATTTTCTAATGGATACAATGTCCTTGATACTGCTTTTTTGACGTTTTTTGTATGTTATCAAAAAACGTCGAAACAGCAGTGTCAAGTAGATTTAGGAACTCTACCTATCTTATGAACAAGACTGAATACCAAGAGTTGCCATATTCACTGCTAAAATATTTTTTGAAGGTGGCAATGTTACAAAAATACCAGAGGTCCACAAGAAATTTCTAGATCACAAAATTACCCTGGTTTACGGTACATTTTCTAATGGATACAATGTCCTTGATACTGCTTTTTTGACGTTTTTTGTAAATTATCAAAAAACGTCAAAACAGCAGTGTCAAGTAGATTTGGAAATCTACCTATCTTATGAACAAGACTGAATACCAAGAGTTGCCATATTCACTGCTAAAATATTTTTTGAAGGTGGCAATGTTACAAAAATACCAGAGGTCCACAAGAAATTTCTAGATCACAAAATTACCCTGGTTTACGGTACATTTTCTAATGGATACAATGTCCTTGATACTGCTTTTTTGACGTTTTTTGTAAATTATCAAAAAACGTCAAAACAGCAGTGTCAAGTAGATTTGGAAATCTACCTATCTTATGAACAAGACTGAATACCAAAAGTTGCCATATTCACTGCTAAAATATTTTTTGAAGGTGGCAATGTTACAAAAATACCAGAGGTCCAAAAGAAATTTCTAGATCACAAAGTTACCCTGGTTCACGGTACATTTTCTAATGGATACAATGTCCTTGATACTGCTGTTTTGACGTTTTTTGTATATTATCAAAAAACGTCAAAACAGCAGTGTCAAAAGTACATTTAGGAACTCTACCTATCTTATGAACAAGACTGAATACCAAAAGTTGCCATATTCACTGCTAAAATATTTTTTGAAGGTGGCAATGTTACAAAAATACCAGAGGTCCCAAAGAAATTTCCAGATCACAAAGTTACCCTGGTTTACGGTACATTTTCTAATGGATACCTATAGATCCGATGTATATTCTCTGGCTTTTTGTCATGAAATTTCAAATGTATATTCTCGCGGGCACACAATATAGTCCCTAATAATTCATAGTAGTCGAAGTTTCTCAATATAAAAAAGTCACGTCACGTGACGTCACTTGACATCGATGTTTGAAAGATTCGCTGGTCTAGCTGGCTAGACCATAGACGCTATGGCCCGGCTATTCACCGCCTATTCATTGTTTGCTGGGGATCATCTTCTTCTCGCACCCACTAACCTACCTGTTATTGCACAATGAAAAATCGGAATCTAGATTGTTGGTAACATTCGATACTATTCCATTCCCGTTGTCCACAGCCATCACTATGGCACCATTTTGGAGCTCAACAGACAGGGCTGGTGAATCGCTCTCGTTGGCAATGCTCAGGAGAACGCCGTTTTGTTCGGAAGTGCGGAATTCGAAACTCAACTCCACTGGCTGCCCCATTCGGAAGTCATCTTCTGGAAAATGCATAAGTAAGTAAAAATTTTCAAATTAATTAATAGATAGCAAACTCACTGTAAACTGCGTATGCATCTCCACCGAAATATGCCCCATCTTCTACATTTGAAAAACACTGGGTTATTCCAGAGTGTTTGATTTCTTTGCTATTTTTAATTAGAAGTTTCTGTTCGTTGTTGATGCTGAGGTGTCTCATACAGCCTCTGAATGGCTGCAACTTCTCAAACTGAAAAAAAAAACACTTTCCTATATATACAGTGTGACCCACTTCTAATGGAACCACCCCTGTACCTTACGTAATCGTTGGGTAAGGATCCTGAAATTTGCTGGAGCGAGAGATATACCAAAAATGCACTCTATGACCAAGTGGGGTCATCTTCAGTGATATACACTGCTCGCCAACAACCATGAAACTACCCCAATTTCCGGAAACTGATATTAGTTTCCAGGAAAAATTTGAATAGTTAGTAAATTGGGCGTCCTGATTCCAAATCTGAAGTGATTTTCGACCTATTTCGACTCCTAATATCATTTTCCGGAAATTGGGGTAGTTTCATGGCTGTTGGCGAGCAGTGTATATCACTGAAGATGACCCCACTTGGTCATAGAGTGCATTTTTGGTATATCTCTCGCTCCAGCAAATTTCAGGATCCTTACCCAACGATTACGTAAGATACAGGGGTGGTTCCATTTTAAATGGGTCACACTGTATATATATAGAATTTTTTTTTTGCCTTCTGATTCTGATTTTAGACAGCCTAACTTATGTCAACTTGTCTATGACAGTTATCGCGATATTTCGATTTTCCTGAAAATAATTATACCTTCCGCCGTAGTAGTTTATGAAAACATTTGCAGGGCAAATGGTCTAAAAAAAAATAGTAGGTGCCATTTGAAATAGTCGACTTTTCGGCATCGCAATTTTTCAATGATGTCTACATTTGAAAATCTCCTGCACGCCCATCTGATACAAAATGGAACCATCGACCAGCAGTTAGAAAATTAAAGTATACATATCTACTTGCTTTGACGTATTTCTGATTTGTCTGGAACTGACTCCGATTTTCCATTTTTAAATGGGACACCCTGTATTTTATTGCATAATCGGTTAGAGATTATCATATATAACGAATTCAACGATACCAGGTTCGAGAGAGTTATTTCTAACCATAACGATTAGGAAGATATTTCCAAGCTTCCATATCCTGGGTCATCTCACGTAATGACGTATCTCATAAAAATAGAAATTTGAGATACTTCGTCAAATGACTTATATTCTTATACTCTATGATCTCACAAAGTGGCGTTTTTCAATGTTCATTGTTTGTAAAGAAACCTCCGAGTTATGAGCTAATCAAGATGTTGAAAATATTTGAATTGCACTCCTGTAAAGTGAAAACTGAGATACGTCATTACGTGAGATGACCGTCGATATGCTCAATGGGTGTGATGGAGCAATATCGAAACTTCTTTCTCTCTCACACTCATATTGAGCATATGGAAAATTCGAATGCAAATATCTTCGTAACCGTTCGAAATAATCTTATCAAACCCGGTATCGGTGAATTCGATAAGATAATCCCTAACCGGTTATGGAAAAGAATGCAGGTTGTCCCATTTATTATCGAAAGTTGGGAGTTGGGGTTATTTCTGGACAATGGTCTCTATAGAAACTTTTATGATGATACAAGAGATAGATCATTTTCAACAATTTCAGACTATATGGTGAATATCTGAAATTTGCGAATTGTGTGAATTTTTGTGTAATACAATATTCAGTGTGTAACCTATGAAAACTAAAGGTATAATCTGTGCTAAATAAACACTGAATAATTTTAAAAATATAATATAATAACCTACCAAATCTCCGACCATTCTATATGCAGAATTTGAAGGTACCCCACCAAAATATATTTCATCCTTTGGCTTTATCCTGAAATTTATTCTACTCGGTTGTTTTTCTCTGTCAAGGATAACTGACAGTTTCTTTAGCTTTCTTGTTATCCTCAAATTGTGCCATTGCCCATCATTCACTTTTTGGTAAGAGGATATCGGCAGGGATTTAGCTTTCTTCTTGCCACGTTTAATTGTCAAATACAATTGACCTTCACTCAGCCCCAGTAATATATAGTTCATCTTCTTGTTACTCTTGAAAGATGCAAAAATAATAATTTATTATCCAGTTTAAAACCAACTATAAGATGCTTACAGATATGAATAGTACTCCATTGGGAGACAGAGTCCTAAAATCGAATTGCAAGGTATAGTTGCTCTTCCAAAAATTTGTTCTCATGTAAGTGTAGCTATTCGGCTTGTCCCCATACTTGACAGCATCCACTTCAGGGTTGTAACTGTCAAAGTCCACACAGCCCTCGGTATTCTGCATGGAGTTAGTTAAATTCATCATTGTCAAACTCTTGACTCTAATGTTGGTGGATTCGGCAAGAGGCATGTCTCTACCTATCTCCACGTTGGATAAGTTCTTAACTGAGGTGGAGTTGAACATGAAGATCCTGTGAACATCAATAAGTTTAATATAGTGGGCCTATAGCTGAACCTTGTGGTACTCACTTGTCGTTGATCATTATATCCCTTATTTCTCCACAGAAACCATTATTCGGATCACCGATTTGGAATTTATTAACGTATATTTTTTTTATATTCACCAGACTCATTCTAGAGCCATCATCTATAGTTAGTTCTTGCTTTTCTCCTAATTTCAGCTTTATGTTGTGATATTCGCCCAATAATTGATGTTCATATTTATTGATGCCATTGACTACTATGGTCGAATTTTCTAGGGAAATATATAGATCGTCTTCGAATTTCATGATGATGCCATTGGTATCGGGAGTTTCTGGTCTTAGGTTGAAGCTGAGGTGTGTTAGTTCTTTTATTGGCGTTTCAATGCTGAGGTTGCCGTTTTTATTTATCCAAGCGTGTCTGAATTCTAATTTCTGGAAGTATAATAAACAAAATTTCAATATAAACCTAATAAGTGCTTATAAGTTACCTATTCACGAAGTTCGAAGACGTTGACTCAAGGTAATGTTATCAACATTTACATTACCAGCAATTTTTTTTCATAATAGGTACACTGCTCATAATAATTTATATATATACAATCCGCATGAGTTCGAAAAATGTCTTCAAAATCCAATATTATATCATTATACGAAATGCAAAACGAAATTATCATAGAGAAAGAGGAATTGATTGAAAAACTACGTAATGAAATTGAAAGTTTGAGAACTAAAGAGAGGAAATCAAATAAAATTGCGACGTAATATAAATTCATTGAATGACGTTTTCAATACCGACCAAATTCAAAATTTATCACTTATCAGTGAAAAGTGAATGCAGCAACAGGTGGAAAATCAAAATGATCTTCATGTTTTAACAGAAAATCTAACCTCTAAAATCATATCTGACAACCAGGCACTACTAGAGAAATTGAAAAGACAAAGAGCAGAATATATGTCTTATTCTTTTATTCATTCAAACCATTGTAATTTTTTTTACGATTGATAGAATAATTCATGAATCAAAATATCAGAATATCGTTGTTTGTTTCCACTTACATCACTGTTGGTATTCGTAACTCCATAGGCAATTATCTGCTTGTTCAACTTGTCAGGTTTATTCAAAAAGCCTCGGAAAAAATTGCCTATCCCTGGAATACAGCTCCTGTTGAAATTGGGGGGGACTCCCCCCACATAATGCTCGGAGAGCTTGATCTTGAAAACGCTCTTGACGCTAAGTTTTTTGGATACCACTTCTGGATTCTCGTTGTCTACCTTCAAGCTGTAAGTTTGAATATGCTCGTTGGAAGAGTAAGCTAGGGCCAGTTCGAAGGTATGTAGCTTGGCATCGTTGACCTTGGTGTCAGAATTGATAGTGACATTTTGGCCGTTGCTATGCCGCATGGTGAGGTGTAGGCGACCGGCTAGTAGATAGACGTAGATGAAAGAGCATTCTGCTCTCTGGAAAATTGCAGCATATTATACACAGGCTAGTGAGTGTCCCTCTATTAGAAGTGCATTTCAATTACGAACTTACAACGCTGTTATTACAAATAAAATGAAATATACTCGGTATAATAAGAATAGGGGTAACGAAAAGAAAAAGAAAGAGGAAAAACAGAAAATTCTTGAGGATAGATATTTTACGGAAGTAGTGAATTAATAGTGTATAGTAAAAAGGATGGTGTAAGGAAGAGTAGCAGAAAAGGAGTGAATGGTGAAGAGATAGTGCACAGAAGCAAGAAGATCGTAGAGAACGAAGGAATTGGAACTAATTCAATTCATTTTAAAGAACGTGGTTACATTGGCGCCCGAGCAAAAATAATAAAAATAGATACAATTAGTGGAATATGGATTGTTGAATTTGACTGACTATCTCACACGTAATATTTTTTTCACTTACATATTCAGCTACATATATGGTACTATTTTCGTCAAACGTTTGGAAGTAGAATTTCAAATCAAACGTTCTCGGAGAAAGTGTATCGTCGACTCCATATTTCAAGTATCCTTCACCATTGAAATAATATGTATTTCTAAAGCTGTCATCCGTTGAAGTCCTAAACAAATATGGTCAATCAGTATCATAACTTTAACTTTTCCTACTACTAAATAGTCAAAGTAGTTGTTTTTTTCCAATCATCTACCATTGTTCTCCATATTTTGTACATAAATGTGGAAGTGACTTTCAGTTCAATGGCGTAGAAATTTACCTTGCTTGTCCTTTACATTTTCCACTAGTATGTTTGAATTTCCATAATCCAAAATTTTTGTTATTCAGAAAAATTTTATAAACGGAAGCTTTTGATGCTGGTTCATCTGTACTACCAACTTCCAACGTATCTTCTCCTCCTATCACGGCCATCCTGTCCATTCCTACAGGATATTCGTTACCATCTACTTCCAGAAAAGAACCTACCCTGAAAAACGCTATTGATGGACAAAAAAATTATCGCGACGTATGTGTTTTATTTTTATTATGTAAGGTACTGACTTTCGTAATCTAATGGTTCGTTCTCCTTCGGATTTGTCTTGGATCAGCGGTAACTCGTTTCCATCTACAAGAATTCTGAGCTCGCTATTTTTCACGGAAAGTGTCAAATTTGATGAGGGCGATTTTATCCATCTAAAGAGGACACAATCTTCGCATCTGAAAGTTATCGACAGCGATTGGAAGAATTCACGTCTAGTTAGTTTGTAAACCATCTTGCAGTTAGTCAGGTTCATAGCAACATCAATCTAGAAAAATTGAGATTAGTTTCGTAGTATCTATAAAGACAACTTATTTTTCCTACGAGTGTGCGCAAAATAGTAGTTTTCCGCACTCATTTGCGTGCGCAAAGTAATACTTTTCCGCACTCATCTCACTGGTATGGAACATTTATATTCATTTTAGTTGCTGTATACTATTGTATGCACTAAAAGAAGCTGTTATCCCTTTTACTTTTCAACCGTTCTTCCCGATATTTGTATTTTACCTCAATATAAATATTAGGAGCAAATGATTTAATTTAATGTTGTTTAGCTATTTCTATCAAGTTTAACTAAAAATTATTCAATAAATTGTAATTTGAGTTGAATTTTTTTTTATTTTCGTTGTTATCTGATATGAAGCTCCTACGGAAAATGTCAATATTCTATTATTATATTTTATTGTTATATTTTCATTTTTCTTTTTATCTGATATGGAGCTCGTAGAAAAAAAAGGTTGTTCCTAACACGTTCGCAAAGTGTCTTTTCCGCACGCAAAAACTCATTCGAACTTCGCTCCGCGTCTAACTGTATTTGCGGGCGGAAATGCAACACTTTGCGCACTTGTTAGGAACATAACTATTTCTACGGTTATAACACAAAATTGCTTTCGTTTTATTGTGTTCGATACGTCAATGAGGTACTTATATGTCATCAATGTTATTTCCGTATCTGATGACAGCTCAATGACAGCTCTGTCTGATAGATGAGCATTACTTGACAGAAAATCAAATGGCTAGAAGACGAAGAAATCGAAAATGCCACTGTCACAATCATTCCGTGCTCGTTAAACAATATACTATTGCTACATACCACATCTACTTGTTGCTTAACTGCATTTATCTTCTGCTGCAAATGTCCTATAATATCTTCAACGTTGGAGATATTTTGTTTATTTTCTGAGACATTTTCACTGGGCAATGTGAAATTGAGATCTTCCAGTTTTTTTCTGGTAGTCACCAATTTGGTAATGAAATCATTTATTTCTACAAAAAAACATTGCAACAGTTTTCAGTTGGATTTTGAACAAATTATTCCTACCTTTCGGTGCTACTTCTGCAGCAAATTGCTGGTAGTTTTTAGACAGATTATATTGTTTGTGAAAATTCATATCTCCGAGTTCTTTTTCAATTCGTTCCATGTCCTGTGAAACTCGTGAGGCACTTTTCATCGCTTCCTCTAACTGCGCAACTCTTTCAGAATGAGTAGTCATATTCTTGTCGATTTTGTGAAGAATTTGTGTTAGGTCATTGTTAGACTTTCCTTTTTCTAATATGTTGTATTTCAGGTCGTCCAATCCATTTTTGGTTTCCATCAAATCTGAAAATGAAAATGTCATGAATTGTTTACTGAATTATTGAATAATTTTGTTTATATACTTTTTGATATATTCTTGAGATTATTAATACGTTGTTTCAGCCTATCAGAATAAGCGTGTGCTAAATTTGTCCTAGCATCTAAATTATCTGCGTCATCAGGATTTATCATTTTTATGGCGTTTTTCAAAATTTTCTCCGATTCCTTCACTGAATCTCTGGCCTGTTTGATACCGCTCAAAATCGCTTCATATGCCCCACTTGCATTTATTTTCTTCCACTCGTCTTTCGTGAAATTAAACATACTGAAAAAATTGCCAATTAATTTCCAGATGAGTGATATTTGAAGTAAACTTTACTTGTGATAATGGTTGATTTTGTTCTCCAATTCTTGGACATGATCGATAGCTTGTGAATACAATTCCTCGATTTTTGGAATTTCTTCCATGTGCCTCTTCACTCTATCCTCCAATTCATTGAATTCAGGGAACTCTGAAAGTTCTTTGAGATCAGTGTAAACGATGCCAAGTTGTTGCATGATTTCTTCAATAGCTTTAGTTTTTTCCACAATTCCACCCAAGGAAGTTTGCACATTTTTGTTCTTGCTCTTCAATATCTCAATTTTTTCCTTAACTCTTTCAATTCTCTTAGAATTATTAGTGTTCTTTATATCCACTAATCTAGCCAAATTATCCACAAAGGAACCTATATTAATTAGATCTTGCATTTTCTTCTTCAGTTCTTTCAATTCTCCATCAGGAAACTTAGGAGAGGGTTTGTAAATGCTATCAACTTTTTTCTTGATTGCTTCGCATTGAGCAAAAACACTATTATCCAGCTGTTTCAATCTGTTGGACTCTTGAATCTCTTTCAATATGAGCTTAGCTCTCTTCAAAGCTTCTTCGAGATTAATTTGTTTGTTCCCAAACTTGTCAAGACTGTTTATAAGCTTCATCAATTTTTTACTCAGTTCGTCAGTTTCTTCTAATAACGTGGTGGAATTTTTATAAATCTTCTCTGTTCTATCTACGTATTCTTCAGATAATTTGTTGTTCCGATCTAGTTGTTCTCTCATTTTAGAGACTTTCTTTTCGGCTAATTCAATGTTGGCTTGTTTCAGCAGATCTTCGATTTCTTTTTTCTTGGTATAAAATTTTGCCGACAGCCCATGAAGTTTTCCAATATCGTCTGTTAATTTCTTCCATGGAGGACCAGTACCATTTTTGAATGACAAGAAGATACTTTCAATTTCCTTTGTCATTTTATCAATCTCGTCAAAGAGTTTCATCGTACATTCGTCACAAGCTGAAACAAATTGAAGTTTAGTTCAAATATTGGAGCAAGTATGAGGATTATCACTTTTACACACTCCGTTTTCGATATATTCCCTCTCTTTGACACATTGGTCGCATTTGATACCCTTGAAACCATTTTTACATTGGCACTTTCCATGCTGGTCACAACTACCGTCGACTACTCCAGATCGGTTGCAATCACATGGTCGACAGTTTTTAGAACCTGGGGCCATATAATAATTCGCCTCACATTTCTCGCAATGTTTTCCTCTATAACCTGAAAAAGAGACCAAGTTGTCCTGTAGTGAGAAACAAACTATGCACCACTATTTCGTCGCACCCCAAAATTTAACAAACATAAGGTTTTTCACATGAAATCGCTACAGGGAGTTACCTGAAACTGTGCAGAATTTTGGTTCTAGGTAAACATCAAAAGTATCCCAAATGAAGACAGTAGAGGCATGTAGATGATCTCATTATCTTGGGACAGTTCCCAGAGTGATCTCAAAAAATGCACTTTTTGGTTTTGCAGTTATAAATTTTTTCCTCGTCAACCGATTTTTGAAATCTCAAGCTAATTTTGAAGCATGAACTTCAGATGAAGAGATATGAAGATCAGAATTCTTCTCTTTAAGTTTTAGCTTCAAAATGAGATTTTAAAATCGGGTTGACAAGGCAAAAAGTTATGACTGCCAAACCAGAAAGATAATTTTTTGAGATCACTCTGTAAATGAAAGTATGAAGCAGTTATAAGTCGGAATTTTACATCCAAAATTCCGAGTTATAACTCTGAATTTTGAAATTCCGAGCAGTAAGTCGGAACTTTTGTAAAATGGACTAGCGAACAGTATAATCCGAATTCAAATCGTTCAAAGCAGAAAAAAGTTATTCATATCTGAACAGGGACAAAATTTTAAGTTTCGACGAAATTGGTGTAATTTTTTCTCCAAATGTTACAAAACCAATGTTGTGTGATTTTTAAATGAAAACTCCATCATTTTGTTGCATAGCAACAAACTTTTCCTGCCTAGGCAGAGAAAGTACACCTACCTACCTGTTAACTGTCAGAGAAAAGCCACTTGCTAATGCTACTTCGAGAAAATAGTTATTTGTTTTACTAGGCAGAAAAGTACAAGAGGCTATAGGCGTAGCCGCAGCTAGGAATCCAGCCAAGGCATTACATCTTCTTTTCTGCAATATGAAACATGATTTTTTTCTCCAAATAATCCATCATTTTTTGTTCACCCAAAGTCATTGTCAATTTTGATTACTAATTTGATTCAAATTACTTGGAACGATGCATAGCAACAAACTTTTTCTGCCTAGGCAGTAAAAGTACACCTTTTCTGCCTGTTAAGTGTCATTAAAAATGTCATTTGGAGAAAAATATTTTTTCTCGTGCCATAATTATCTTACCGCGTTTACATTCACATGTGAATCCATTTTTCAGTTGGGAACAACTTTCTGCATTATTTTCGTTAGCTGTTGGACATGGACAGGTCGCGCAGTTTTTATTTTTATCCATGTAAAAACCTACGTCGCAATTTTCACAGTGGTCACCCGTGGTGTGATCCGAACAATTCTGCAAATGAAAACAACAGAATGTCTTGAATTTGAAAGTAAATGGAGGCAATTTCCCTACCTTGCAATTTCCAGATTCTGGGTCGCATTCGATGGAGTGACCACCACATTCGCATGGTCTGGCTATTCCAACGACAAGATCAATCCAGTTATTCTTTGGATCCTCAGGGAAGTACCTGTAGTAACCCTTATTGGGGTTCTGACAAGACAATCCAGAATATTCTCGTGGGCAATCGCACTTTTCTATGGAGTGTGTGCTTCCGTGGAATCCTTTCTCTTCAGCTTTGTCCAGCAAAACTTCCCTTATTCTGTAACGAATATAGAATTAGCGGGACTCTTTATCATCAATAATATACAAATACCTGTTTTCTGCATGGACTCTGATGGAGGTGACTTTCTCCATAACAACCATGAAACAAGCTCTTGTCAAGTTAACGATACAACTATTGGGAACATCTGGATTTCTAGATGAAACATTCCACCCGCCAATCTCTATCAACTGCAGTTCATTTTTGTTTTTTATAGATGTCAGGTTAATTCCGTTTCCTTCTAGGTAAACATCGAAGTATCCTTTAGGTTGCACTTCTAGGTATCCACCATAAGAAGAAGTAAGGTCTCCCAGAAATTGACGCGGTAACATCAACTCGTCCCTAGCTACCTATGAAACCGATAAATCCAGTTGGGGTTGTTTCAAGGATCCGATTTAAGTTCATGAATACTCACATGGTTATTGTCTTCATCGTTTCTATCAATTCTAGTGGTTTTACTCCAGTGATAGTGAGCATCGTCGCATGAGTTGCTCCTTCCAAAACAGAAGCAGGCTGTACATCCTTTGGGATTTTCTTTGGTCAAGCCGTAGTAGTTTTTCTTGCAACTGTCGCAGTTTTTTCCTTGTACGTTTTCCTGCGTAGACAAAAATCAGGTTGTTGCGAGAATATATAAGCATTATATCGACTGATGTAAAACTAGTTCCAAAGATGCGTCTATTCTACTTGTTTCCTCTGTGTGGAAGAGGTCATATTTTAACCCTTGAATGCCCAACATTTCTCATGAAGATATATGTTTTTTTTTTTTCATACCTAAATGTGCCACCCCCCCCACTTATCCTCGTAATTCTCAACATATTTTGGCCATTCAAGAACACTTGTGGAATATTTTTTTACGATTTTTTTCATTCTGTAATCACTTTTTTTTCATATCAACAAAATACAGGGTGGCTGAAGAAGAAGAAGAGTTTTTTCAAATATAAATGATCTAGATATCATTCAATAATGAATGATAAATACAGTGTGGAGACTTTGAATGGAATAAAATCCTTAGCGGGGAGGTGAATATCTTTTCTAAAAATTCCCGGCATACGTCGACGATTTAATATATTTACCTACCTTTTGCAAGCAATATCGAGTATACACCGTGTCCCAGCTGTAAAAAATCAACCGCGCGATCGAATGACTCTAAATTTGGTCATCCAGTATATTTGATGATGCTCACCCGAAATATGCTATTGAATAAATCGTAGGTATACAGGGTCACACCGAAGTGCACCTCCACTTTCTTATTTGAATAGGGACACCCAGTATATTATTCCATATTTAAGTAAGATATGGCAAATAATAAATCGATACATAACTACAGACCCGTAAAGGATCATCTTTGCCATCGATTTAGAGAAAATCTTATAACCACCAATTGCCTCGATGATGATAGCAACTGGCCAGCTGGGTCGCCAGACCTCACCTCACTTGAATTTTATTTGTGGGGCTACTTGATACAACTGGTTTATGAGTCGCCAATTGTGAATATGGAAGAAATGGAAGAGAAAATCACAAATTTATGCGCACAAATTGATCGCAACGTGATACATAGGGTCACAATGAACGTTATCAAAAGAGCTAGGAAATGTTTGCAGCAGAATGGACGACATATTGAGCAGTTGAGGTTTTAATCATTTTCCCTTAATTCGATTTCAATCGTGTTATATTGATAAAATCTGATCATATAAATTCTTAATTGAATCGTTTTATTTTTTGCCATATCTTCGTAGTCGTTTGAAAATTTCCCATCAAATCCGGCATTGTTGAATTTGTAATCCCTCCAGGGGTAGCTGAAAACACCCTCAACATGATTTTTTTTAAAGTAACCCTATGGCTTGTGACCCCTCATTGGAAAGAGGAATCCAGCGTACTAGTAAATTTTCAGCATACGTTAAAAGGTTGCACAACATTCAAATTAATCTCAAAATTCTTTTTTTTTTCAACGTATCAATCGCTCAAAACGTGTGTTGAACAATTGATGGCAATTTTTTCTGCTATTGTAATCCAGTGTTTTTATTGAACCGCAAGAAGAAATTTTGTTTTTTTTCGTATTCAGAGTTCGAAACGAAGTGTTATTGCAAACTGGTACAGATGCCCTATATCACTGTCTCTAAAAGTCGAAATTTTGATGAAAATACGTTGAAAATATATCAACCTTCGAAATTATATTTTGATTTTATGCGATCCCCAAACGTACCGCAAACTGAAATATGATCAGTACGTTGGATTCCTCTTTCAACCAGCTTTCCAATAAGAGGTCTCAAGGCATAGGGTTGCATTTGAAAAAACCATGATGGGGACGATATCAGCTACCCCTTTTGCTCGTCAAATGTAGGTAAATACATTCAAACGTTGATGTGTCTCGCGAATTTTCAGAAAAATCATTCACTCCCCCAGTAGCGAATTTATTCCAGTTCTCCACCCTGTATATATTTGAATTCAGATTGACGGGCTTCATCGAACTATGGAAGAACCTGTAATTTGTTGATATATAAAGAAAAAGTAAGCACAGATTAAAAAAAATCGTAAGAAAATATTCCAGACAGATTTTTCAATGACCAAAATATGTTGAGAATTACGAGGATGAAGGGGGATGGCACATTCAAGTGGGACACCCTGTACCTATACCTTGCACTTGCAGTGTCCGTTGACGTCGCATTGGCATAAACCGTTTTGGCATTCTCCCTCTTGGGTACCCTCCAGGTGGCAGTTGCATTTTCTGCACTGGGGATACCCGTAGAAGCCGTAGCTGCACCTGTTGCATTTCTCCCCTTCGTAGCCGATTTTACACCTGCACCGGCCTGTTGTGTGATCACATTGTGAATTCGCACTGCCCAACGCAGAACAGTCGCATGCCTAAAAGTGGATCAGAAGGTTGCAGGTTGATTTTTCATGAGGTCAGAACTCGATCAACCTTAGCCAATGGTGGGGTAGTATTGTAGGGATTGTTCATTTTTCAATTTGTCTGAAACAACTGCATTTTTCATAATATGTTGGTATAATAGAAGCTTTCGATTTAGTGGTTTGAAAAACATTAAAAGTATACTTAACTGTTCATCCAATCGTTATACATATAGGAGGTTTAGAAGAAAAAGCGATAAAAGTCCCAAACTCTGTCGACCACGAAAAAAATTGATTAAAAAGTAGTGGAGCTAGTTTCATCAGACACAAAAATGATGTATTCGGAAGTACCTCAGCAATACATACCAAGAGCAAAAAATTTTATCAAAAGCCTAGGTCGAAGTCCTGAATTTACAATAGGTTCAAATCTGGAAAAGGTCTAGTAAAACCGGATCAGCATCATATTATTAAAGAAGAACATTGACATTTTGCATGACCTGATGAATCTCACGTAAGAGGATTTTTTAAAGTTTTTGATAAAAGACAACACAACCTGAAGCTTAATTCTACTACTTTTTTCCCTTTTATAATTAATAACTTATTTTTTAATGCAATGATATATTATTTTGTTCCTTTAATCTAGTTTCTTTTTATTCAACGACGTATCACAAGATGGAAATTGAGTTGTTCACTTTTTTCTATGAAATATGTGAAACGCAGAATTATGATGTAGTTATATCTAGATTATTTTCGACTTGTGAAAGATATTCGAGAATTGTTCTTAATTTTCGATATTTTTGTTGATGTTGATTAGAATTTTCTTTGTTTTTTTTTTTGATTTCAGGATCTTGTTTTTTCGACATCATTTTTGCCTGCTATCCTACTTTTGGCTAAGGTTGAGTTAGGTTTGGTACCTTGCAGCCTACGCCAGGTTGGTACCCATATGAGTTCACTGAGCATTTCTCGCAGGCTCCTCCTATAGTTAAGGGGGGGCACACACATTTTCCGTTCGTGAGGTCGCATATATGCCCTTTTTTGTCACAGGGATCACATTCTGGAAAGAATCCGATTTATGACTCACACTGTAGAGGGTGATTCAGAATTCGATTGTCGAACCCATAACAAGAGATTTTTATCTATTTATAAAATGAGAAGAAAAATCAAGAGACATTTCAGAAACTTCAGTCTCAAGGTACTCAATAGTACCACAAGGTAGTTCCTTTTTAGAATATCATTGTTAGAGTTCGTCATGTTATCTTTGGCTGATTCAATTCCTGAAGGAAACAATTGATCACTATGTATATCATTTTTTTTATGTTCTGGTTCCCACGAAAAGGGATATCCTGTAATGTTCAGAGAACATCGTGAGAACCAAGGGAAATAAGGTAGGAATTGGTGTTCTTCTTGAATTTTTGGAGGTTATATGCCTCGAGCAATGTGTTCCACAGCCTCGCTGTTCGTTGGATGAACGAGTCTTTGGAAAGAGATGTTCTGCAGGTCTCCAAAGTGACCACGAAGGGGTGCGAAGCCTCAACTGTCAAGGGAGGTACAATGGTTGATATTTCAGAAGAGCATCGTCCATGAAAATATCTATAAAATAGAGCCAGATCGCCAATTTTTCTACGGTGTTCCAGAGAGGCATCACCCACGAGACGAATTGCCCTTTTTTGGATAGAATCCAACAATGTTTGGGTGCTGCACTCCAAATATGGGAACAGTATTCCAGGACAGGTCGGATCTGTGCCTTATAAATCATAAGCAGCTGACTGGAAGTGAAATAGCTCCTGGCCCGAAACAGAAAACCAAGTTTTTGGGATGCACTTTTCGCAATTGATCTCGCGTGATTTTCCCAAGAAAGGTTATTGCTGATAGTAATACCAAGCATCGAAATGGATGTCTTCAAAGGTATGGTTAGTTAGTTGATATGCTCATGTGAGCACAGTGCACAGTGAGATCGGCTTTTCTAGAGAAAAGGCATGCTTGTGTTTTGTTTGCCTTGAAATCATCATAGTTAAGATATTATCTTGAGTAATTTGTCATGTTATGAATTTATATTATCAAACAGTCATTGAAAACTCCATATTTTAGTCCTTTTGATATCGAATAGCTACCAGGTAGGTGTTGTTCGTACAGGGTGATTCACCATAAATGTCCCCCCCTCTAGCTCAGTTATTTTTGAACCGATTTCAAAATTTGAGATATCATCTTGAATGATTTTCGATAAGGTATTTTTTCGCTACATCAGAAAATAAAGGGTGCTCGGAAAAAACGATCTACAGGGTACTATTTGATTTTTTTAAATGGAACACCCTATTTTTCATCGAATTTTTAGATTCTCCCTGAAGAGCTGATTTGATTAATGTATCACACTTGGGGTCTAGCAAGAATGATTACAGAGATATAGGGTGTTCAAAATCGAGATTTTTCAACTTTAGGATTTTTTTGAGACGAAACTATTCATCATCGGTCAAAACGGCTTCCATGTCCACGTCTTAACTTTCGATTTACTTTCTACTGACATTTAATAATTGGAACAGATACAGGGTGATCAAAATTCTGAATCTTGAACCACCCTGTAAATGTTCCAATTAAATGTCAGTAGACAGTAAATCAAAAGTTAAGATGGAAAGAGAGGAGCCGTTTTGACCAATAATGAATAGTTTCGAGACAAAAAAAACCTAAACTAGAAAAATCTCGATTTTGAACACCCTATATCTCTGTAATCATTCCCGCTAGACCCCAAGTGTGATGCATTGATGAAATCAGCTCTTCAGCAAGAATCTAAAAATAAAATGAAATACAGGGTGTTCCATTTGAAAAAATCAAGTAGTACTTTGTAGATCATTTGTTCCGATCACCCTGTATTTTCTGATGCAACCGGAAAAAAATTCTGAAAAATCATTTCGAATAATTTCTCAAATTTTTAAATCGGTTCAAAAATAAGTGAGCTAGAGGGGGGGACATTTATGGTGAATCACCCTGTACATCTTGTGGCGACCGTGACAGGACTCGAACCTGCAAGAGGAAGGCCAGCAATAGTCTATAATGATAATGGTTGAAACTTCGTGGGAGCAGAGAATGCATTTGGAAAAATCAACTGGGACAAAATATCTGAGTATGGTGTATTGAAAATGATTCTATGGAAATTCAACCTACCGGCGACTGCAGCTTGGTGGGGCGGTTGGTGGAAACGGCTGATTCGACTATTGAAACAACTGCTGGGAAAGACACTAGGAAGAGCATCTTTGACGTATGAAGAGTTATCAACAGTATTGGGTGAATGTAAGGCCGTTATGAATTCCCGGCTCCTTACTTACGTGTCTGAAAACTCTCAAGATTTGATTCCATTGTCGCCTTCGATGTTAATACAAGAAATTAAACAAACAGGTGTTCCTGATATTGATGAAATCGATGCTGACTGCTTGAATAGGCATTTACGATATCGATTCAAATTGAAAGAAAACTTGAGAAAGCGATTCAGCAGCGAATATCTGAGTCAGTTGATAATGTGTTCCAAGAAATGTAAATCTAATGACGTGAAACTTGGAGATGTCGTTTTGGTTGGGAATGTAACATCAAAACGGTTCGATTGGCTTCTAGCCTCAGTTGAAGAAGTTTTGCCTGGTAGAGATGGCAAAATTCGTGTGTCGCCTGAAGACTAGTTCTGGGCACATTATGAGACCGGCTCAGAGGTTGTTTCCGTTGGAAGTTCATTCAGATCAAGAAGAGCGAAAGATAGTTCTACGGAGGAGGAAGTACATGATGATTCTGTGAAATCGAATGATACCGAAGAAAATCATGTTACTACTCGCTCTGGAAGGAAAATCAAACCTCCTGCAAGATTAAATCTATAACAAAGTATGTGTCAGATTTCATGAAGAGACACATACGGTGGGAGGATGTTAGAGGTCATCACGTTATCTTTGGCTGATTCAATTCCTGAAGAAAACAATTGATCACTGTATATACCGGGTGACACAGGGTATCGGGCCACCCCTGTAACTTCTGCATTCGTCAACGGATTTTTCTGAAATTCGGTACAGTTATATAAGCAATCATTTCAGATTTGATCACATTACAATCCAATATGGCGGACTTCCGGTATTTCTGGAAATGCCAGCAACTTTGTTTTTTCAAATGAAACACCCTGTATATTTTTACATATTCAAGTTCAACAGGTCGAAACAAGTGCAATCTTTATTTCAAATGTAATTTTTTCGAAAAAAATTAAATTAAAATTGTTTTTTCATTTCACGTCGTGGATAAATGAGATGTGGTCAAGACTATTCACAATGAGTCACACATAACAGAAGAACATAATTTTTTCTGAAAAATTATTTTTTGTGTCACTTATCCAGGAATCAATTCAGCCACATCACTTTTTGATCAAAAATTATTTTTTTTCAAATGGAACCCTTATGGGCCCCCTACCCGTCTCTCTAGAACATACATTAAGGAAAAAATGACATTTCATTTTTGTATTTCACTGCAGTAACAAATTGTATACATTCAAAAATCAACAACTATTTAGTTCATGAATTTCCTTGCAGTTGAAATAATCTTTCAACTGGTAGGCTGTGGAATGAATGACATTTGACATCAAGATTGCACTTGTTTTGACCTGTTGAACTTGAATATGTAAAAATATACAGGGTGTTCCATTTGAAAAAACAAAATTGCTGGCATTTCCAGAAAAACCGGAAGTCCGCCATATTGGATTGTAATGTGATCAAATCCGAAATAGTTGCTTATATAACTGTACCGAATTTCAGAAAAATAAGTTGACGAATGCAGAAGTTACAGGGGTGGCCCGATAACCTGTGTCACCCGGTATATCATAGTTACGATATTATCTGCTTGAGTAATTTGTCTTGTTATGAATTTATTTTATCAAAAAGTCCATATTTTACTCCTTTTGATATTGAATAGCCACCAGGTCGGTGTGGTTCGTACAATCATCTTGATTTTGCATTGAAAATCTGCTCAGAGGGTTTCAGGTCGAATTTTGCATCATCTTGCATCAATTTGAATAAGAATTTTCCTGAAAAATGTTTACGACTTACTTTTGCATCCCGTTTCTATCATTCCGTAATGATCCGGCATACATGTATCACAGTGTTTACCAGTGACACCTTTTTTACAATAACATATTCCCGTTACTCTGTTGCATTTGGTTCCTTCTTCAGTGCCATGCTTGTTACATTTGCATTCATCGCATTTTCTGTTGTTCTTCCAATATCCGTCCTGAAACAGGAGCTCGCAAGTTCAACTATAATACCTTTGTGCATCTGTCCTTCTTTCTTCAATATAGTGAAAAAGGTTGAGATTGAGATTCACACCGAGCACCGATTGTGTCTGTCCTTCTCAATTCAACGCATGGAGAACAAGGACAGATGTACATTGTGTGTAAAGCGGCGTTCACAACCAAACTTTTTACGTTTTGCATTTTACGTTTCGTATTCTGATTGGTGAAGCAAAATGTGTAATTGAAATGACGCAAAAAGATGAAAATATTCAGCTTTTTTGCATCGCAAGAAGCCATCCTCTCTGAAAATAGTAAAATTAGACAAATGATATTGTTATAAAAATTAAAAATATTACTGTTAGTTCTGATAGAACAATACATATGTATGGAACATTCTATATGGAAGTTATGATAATGTTTTTACTCATGATTTTTTCGTGAATCCACGGAATATTAGATGGGTATACTGTTCATTTTATCATTTTCTTCATGAGGATTGATTTTTCTCTTGAAGTACTGAATAAGTATTGAATAAAGATCAATTTACGTCACCGCCAGTTCTATGAATATCATTAATTATCTAATCAATATTATTGTTATGATTATTTACCTTCATTTCAGGATGAAACACAAATGACAAAACCAAGGTTACTGAGAAAAGCCGTAAAAAGTCACGTTGATTTTTTGTTGTTGTGAATGACATTTGCATAAATTTAATTGACGTTTAATTTCAGATTCTGCTTCACCAATCAGAATACGAAACGTTAAGAGTAAAACGTAAAAAGTTTGGTTGTGAATGCCGCTTTATCAACCTGTTGCGTCAAATAATTCGCACCAATTTAATGTTTTGCTCAATCATCTGTGCAGATTATCCGTTAGACTGATAAACTGTTGGACCAATCAAACTGCAAAAGTTGCGCTTGTATGGTTAGGCATTGAGTTTATATTCTGCTATATTTCTGTTTTGAACCTTTTTCCTCGCAAATTTCTGCAATTTTCGTTACAGAATAAACTCAATGTGTTTAAGATGGCCGTAGCCTCGGGATAATACACTCAGTTCCAAAAAAAGTGACGCACTTGATATTAGACCTATCTTCTTGAAAAAAAAAATAATAGGCCGATTTTGATTTTTTTTTCAATTTGTTGGTAGGTAATGCATTTGTCTTTAAAAAAAAATTAAGAGGTGCAAATTTTTTCAAAGCCTTGATGGTGGTGGAATAACTCGAACCATGATTTATTCTTAATTTTTGACTCACCCTCTGTGTTAATTGAGTAATGGTATACAGAGTGCTCGCACCCTATACGAAAGAGGCTTCTTTTGCGAGCATTTTGTTTTTTTATTCATTGATTCATCGAATTTTCCGAATTACAGCTTTTTTTGCTGAATCCTTGCAGAGTAGTAGTAGTAGAGAGTAGTTTTTCGGGGGCGAGCGGTGCTTCCTGTTTGTTCGTACTCGTGGATTGCTCTACGAGCAGTTGCTTCATGAACTCCCACTGCACGTAACGTTTACTACGCCCATCGTTTACTAACGCAACTAATCTTGCTACTTGTTCAGGCTTTATTTGAAGCATTTTATGTAATTTTAGTCAATAAAACAAGACAATTGATGACACAACGACAAATGGTCAAATATGGAGGCATACAACAAATAGTTGCTATGGCAACGGCGTTTGTTTTTTTGAAGACAATGTGATCCTACCAGAGTACAACCCAATCAATTTTGAGTACTCTGATTCTTCAATAAATTTAATTTGTGGGATAAGCGTAAGGTATCAGCAAAAAAGCTGTAGAGCTTAGAGATAAATCAATGAAGAAAAAAACAAAATGCTCGCAAAAGAAGCCTCTTTCGTATAGGGTGCAAGCACTTTGTATACCATTACTCAATTAACACACAGGGTGAGTCAAAAATTAAGAATAAATCATGGTTCGAGTTATTCCACCACCATCAAGGAGGCTTTTAAAAAAATGTCACCTCTTTATTTTTTTAAGACAAATGCATTACCTACCAACAAATAAAAAAAAAATCGGCCTACTATTTTTTTTTAAGAAGATAGGTCAAATATCAAGTGCGTCACTTTTTTTTGAACTGAGTGTATTTATATACATTTGCTCGTAGAGATGTTGTAGTCCTGCTACCATCATCAAGTAATTTTTCGGAAAAACTACTGTGGACGCTTCAACTGTTGAGGACGATAGTGATTAGCATCAATGATGATATTTTTCTCCTATTGAACTGCAAACTTGCGAACAAATTTGAATTCAGTGCCATTTAGCTGGAATCGTTCTGATTGGTGGTGGACGTATGTGTGTGCAAAACAAATTCTTGCAAGTAATTGCATTCTGGCATTTTGACTTACCATACAAATATCGCAGTGGTGACTCGTGTAGTAGGGGTTGCATACGCACGAGCCAGTTTTGTCGTCACACATCGGAAATTTGGCACCGTCTGGATCGCAAGTACAAGCTGAAAGGAACATTAAATAGTATATCACACACCGAGGTGGAAAGAGATTCATTCCTGTCGTCTATAATATTTTATTTACAACCATAATGTTTCGATAAAAAATTAATAAATCTTTGTTTCGTTCTGAACACACCTAAAATATTACATTTAACGACAAATTACCAAAAATTCCAAATATGACTGCTTCGGAGGAAGGTGGCTTCTCTTGAATAGCCTTGAAGATGGTGTTTTAATATTGTCTTCGAAACGGAATTATTGTAGGTGGGTATACCCATGCTATACTTTTTATGCTGAATTCAAAAATGAAGTGATGGCGGGAAGTAGAGATGTGTAATGTGACACTTCCCAGTCTTCAATGACGTTAGTAATTACAACATTACATACATGGTTGTAAATAAACATTAGAGTGACTTTGCTAGTATGAAATAATGTCATCACGATTTCCATTCGAATGATTTTTTTTCTTATGCGATACAATAGGTGACCAAGAATAATAGAAGAACGTGACCAATTGAAATTCGAATTTATGCGTTATGGTTCATAATTTGGTGTATATTATATGATTATCATCAGATAGGTCTAAAAGTCCGTTAGCCTTTTTAGTATTTTAAATCTGATTAGCCATGGACTAAAAACTTTACTTTCAAATCAATCAAATATGATGAAGATTAGGTTTGTTGGTCATTTTTATAAATATCTCCAGTTGATAGTAGAGAGTTGATTAAGTGGCTATTTTGTGGTATTCGCGGAATCTATGTTTGTACAAGGTGATTGTTTATATTTCTCTCAATAGCTATCTCAGTTAATATTGGTCTCAGAAGATGCAGTATATTTTATGAGCATTCAGAATCTAGAAAATCCGAAAAAGCATCGTTAACCTAAACATTTTGCATAAACTGATTTATACATACTGTGCCCGTCTAAAGTCCGTTCCCCCCTACTAATTTTTGAATCACCTGGAATATCACATCAAAATAGGAGATGAAAACCTACCTTTCCATGAAGAATCGACAGCTTAAAGTTTTTAAATGGCCGCTGAGCGGCGAAATATTAACGTTTGAAAAGTGACATTTTGGACATTTATAACCCAACCAAAAACTTGTGTGCTTCCAATGAAATTTGCTTCGAAAAAAATCAAGATGTCACCGCAACAACGATTGTGAGTAAAGTGAAGTGTATGAGATGTATCTGTTGAGAATTATGAGAAGATTCGAGAATGGAATATAACGAGGTGTTCCTTTTGCAAAAATAATCCAAGATGGTGCTCAGCCGCCATTTAAAACTTTGAACTGTCGTTTTTTCATGAAAAAGTGGGGGAATGGACTTTGAACAAGCACTGTACTTATACCTACTTATTGGAATTTCTTAATGGAATTTGAGGTGTAATTTGACTACATCTATTGCACATAGATTAATTTCTGATGGCGACAAAAAACAGAATGGCTGCATTCAAATTTGTGGTCGTCATTATAGCACTTGTGGGAAAAAGCGCCTCTTCAATGACGAATAACATATACTATCATGTCATCGATATTATGAATAAATACATGACATTATATAAATCAATTAGCAACTTTATGTAGCTATTATATTATGTAGGTAGGTATCGGTATTATGTATTTTCTTCAAATATGTAAATTTCTGGTGTCGTTTTAAGCATAATTGAAAATGATACATAATAATACATAACAATGTTGGTTTAGTGAAGTTATTCGCGATTTTGACTAAACGAGCGTGGCTTGCGGCAATCTCTAAAAACCTCTTCATACATAGTTAATATGCAAAACATATTAGCGGTGCGTGGAAGTCATAGGCGGAGATTCATGGAAATTGCGAAGTAATTGATTATTTTCGATTTTCAAAATCGCCAGTGGTGTCTTCACAATATGTTATATTCATTGAACGAGTTGTAGACAGCCATCTGAGGCGATCCATCTTACAGTGGAGTGAAGGCATAGGACAGGACGAAATTCTTACAGTTTATTCCACCAAAACTTTATTGTAATCAAATTACGGGACATGTTTCGAAGCTTCGAAGCTTCATCATCAGCTTTTAGTTACATATGAGCACTAAAGTAAGAGAAAAATAAAGAGAAATGTCAAACACTTCAATAACGACAGTTCAAAAAGACTCACCTGTTCTGGAGGAATAAATTATGTTCACATATAACAAAAAATATTACTTCATTTAAACCTTATTCGGTGTACACAACGCACTGAAAAATTTTAGCACCTTCAAATAGATCACCTTGTAGTTGATCTAGCCTCGAAAATGACCTGGGTGTTCAGTGGCGTAACTATACCAGTCGAGTGAGATCAATTGCTTTCTGTTTCGGGCCAGTCAGCTGCTTATGATCTATAAGGCACAGATCCAACCTGTCCTGGAATACTGTTCCCATATTTTTTTAATAAAAGGGCAATTCGTCTCGTGGGTGATGCCTCGCTCACAAACTTCCTAACTTCTCTGGAACACCGTAGAACCGTTGGCGATCTGACTGTATTTTATAGATATTTTCATGGACGATGCTCTTCTGAAATATCAACAATTGTTCCTCGACGTTTTGCCGACTTGCCACCCTGTAGTTACGCCACTGTGGGTGTTCTAATGTACAGATTAACGAAAGTTTTCGTGGTAAATCAATCGTACTTACTATTGATGTTCATAATCGGCTCTTTGTATCTAATCGCTTATTATAATGTTTCGGCTCATCTGACGGTGTCTATGAGAAATTTTCGTGATCCGGGCTAGCGGCTAAGTTCTTTTCATATTGTGGTCTACCACCCGCCAAGAAGATCTAACGGATCTATCTATAATGATCTAGTAATACGCCTTATCAGCGATGCCACTCAGTCATCAACCTTCTTCCATAATATACAAGGGATAATCGAGAGAGATGGGATTAGTACGAAGGTCGACACCCCTTCGTTCCTCGTTACTTCGACCTTCGATAACTTTTGGAAAATTTCAGTTGTCAACTATTGTTCTCAAAGAAAAAATATTCGCCATTTTAACGGCAATCGACTAAATAATGTCATGGCTGCAGTTGCTCTGCTACCTATAGTAATTTTTTTCAGTATTAACCCTTCTCCAAGTAAAATATTCGTATTATAAATCAACATCGATTTGCCTAACTAACTAACTTTTCATGAATATTTCAATAATATCTCAGTTATTAATAATGTGATTTTATTTCATTGACATTCTGATGATGAGTGTATCTGAGGAAAATGAATCATCTGACACAGTTAAAGTAAACATCTTGGAAAAAGGTACCAATTAGGGATTATTTTAGATCAATTCTATCAATCTATTTAAAATCAACAACCCCAAAAATCCTTCAATTCATATTTTCAAAATCTCAAGACCTGATATTAGCAGAAGACATTTCCATCTTAAAATCACTTTTTCTATCAACTTCTTAGTCTGAATGTCCTGATCCTATATCATTTCAAACAACTTATATAATTTCGTTCATCATCAATCAATATTCCGATCTGATTATTTTTTTCTGGTTTGTTGAAAGTTAAATCTAGAGAGGCTACCATTTGAAAATTGATTATTTTATGAGCATTTTTTCATTTATTCCCCAAATTGACTATTTTCAGGTACGTTTGTTTAATTTTTGTTTGCGAGAGTTCTCCTCTAGCTTGATCCTTTATTTACAACATGAATTGAAAAAAATTGAGATCATATTGAATGGTTTTGAAATGGGAAGTTTAGAGCGATAGCGCTGAATTTGATATTTTTTGCGACTCATTCCCCATTCTAAGTCATAAGGTAGTTATGTCGAAGATTCCCCTGTATATGATGTTGTGGATACGTGTTGATGAAAAATGTAATTCTTCAACGCGTTTTATTGATTTTGTGAAAATTGCAACATGGATGGTGCAACAATGGTGTTTCTAATCGAAAAATCTATTTCTTTGCAAAATATTTTGAAATTTCCAAGAATCAACTGATGAATTATAAGAATTGAGAAGGAATATTCTCCGATAAATCATAAACATGAAAGAATGGATATATATATTATAAAGAAATACATTGAGAATTCACATTCTCTATGTGATGAAAATATCAATTCTTTCTTGGTTTATTCAAAAGGAAACAACTACTTTCCTGGCTATTTGCCACGTTGAACATTGAATTATATCTGTTGAAAATCTGAAAGGAGAGCATGAAAAGTAAAAATCCTCTGAAATTGAGGATTGGATAAATAATATGACGTATTATGATATACAAATATAACTTACCAATATGTTCAGCAGTGAAATGAAAATTGAAATGCATAGGAGAACTATACTTGTATAAACTCTGATCTTGATGAGCTTGAAACCTCCAGAAAAACTCATTCGTATCAGTGATATGGGAATTATATCACTCAAAAACAGGTTATATGACTCGAATGGACCTATTTCGGATTTGAAATCCTCCTCAGTAACCAGAAGTCCAGTTATTCTTTCAGCCATTCTTCATGATATACGATGGAAACTTGTTATTTTTATGGACCTTCAATTGCAGATTCGTGATTAGGTTTTGTCAATACAGAATTTCTTTTCACGTCCTGTATGATGAATATCAATTTTTCATCCAAAAACAATTATAAGAAATTCAATAATAATCATTGTGGTTTGTGGTTCATCTCGCATTCGCCATAACTTTCTTTTGTCTATACAATTTGGTGGCAGCGCACATCTTATCGAAGGAAGTGTGTTTTGTTAGCGATGTTTTATTGTCGTTGCGGAAATAAAATATAAGAAAATAGTCTAGAATAAAATGTGGATTAATAATGAATAGGAAATAGAACAGAAGAAGAAATATTCAAGAGGCGCTTCTGCTTTTTCTGAAGGTATGAAGAAACATAATAAACGAAATATGAAAAATGATTAAAAAAACATCAATAAAAAATATTTTGAGCATAAATCGCATAAATGAAACAAAAATAAATTCCTATAATAATTTCGTGTGGTCTTGGGAATACATAACTATCGGATTTCGGATA